GTCGTGCTGTCCATCCAGTTGCCGATGTCACCTATACCACCAGGCATTAGCCACTGCAATGAACGCAATTGCATCCGAACAAAACAATCAATCATCTCCACAGTCGTGAGACTGCTCGTGAAGAAAGTAATACGCACCCTGCATCAATTGAGCCATCTTATCCTCAACAGTCATGCGACTGAGAAGATCAGAGACTCGCGCCTCCACAGGCGCTTGGAGATTCTTGTACAGAGGTCTGGAGACATTCTGCACAGCCAGAGCCCCAGACCCAAGCTGAAGGAGCAAAAGCGCCTTTGCGAAAAGACCGGCCACCATGATGGCTAAGTGAAGAGCCAATGATCTGCTCTTCCAGCTCCTTGGGAACGAGCGAGCTTATGCAGGTAGACAAGCAGGCAGATATTGGGGAAAGGACAGAAGAGGAAGCTCAAGGGGGAGATCCCCCTCGGTATTTAACATCATGCAGGCAGCATATAATTTCTAGTGTGCAGACCAAGCGGAGCTCCAGACAACCAGAACAGAAAAACAAGAAAAGAAAAAAATTCCCAGCAAACACACTAAGGAATGCCATCGGCAGCGACGGACAAGGAATCCGTTTAATTTAGGCTGTGCTCATGCGATCCATTCGGAGATGAGGCCAGTACCCATGGGGGCTGGTAGTCTTGGGGAGCGTGGAGAAGCAGCAACGAATAAGATAGCATGATGCATGAGTCCGAAGCTGAAGGCGAGCCAGCTGACTGGACATCGGTCGAGTCCCGCGATACTTTAGATTGGCAGTCAATGGAGTAATTTCCCAGGATGGGAGGTGTACTCCAGTATGAGCACGGGTAAATTCAGGACGATGGCGAGAAGGGGAGGGGTAAGCAATCTTGGGAAATGACTCGGAGATGATCCATGCAGCAGACTAACAGCTGCTAGTTAGCCCTAGTTGGGCCAGGGTGCAGGGGATTTGGTGCGGACTTGCCGGCTGCTTGCTGCTCTTTCTCCACCTATCGTCGTCTTTCCTCGGACCAGCAGGCCTGCAAAGGTGCAAGGATGGAACTAAGGCCCGTCCCGATATTGATGGAATGCCCGCGGGGTGGGCCAGCTGAAGAAAGTCTTGGATATGGGTTCCACCTTTTGGACACTAGCAAGTCTAACGCAAATTAAATATTGCCACTGGCCTCGAGCTACCGGAAATACAACACACATTCGCTTCTCAAATTCTATTAAACGGCTATATAGTCGAAGAATGCTAATGCTCGCAGTGGTGTGAGACAGCCTCCACCCGTGAATTATCTATAGGAAAACAAACGTATGTACTAACAATCGGTGTGAGCCAGTCACCGTCAACAGCTCAAATTACGCCCGCGTACCTGCGCCGGTACTCTGCCCGTCTTGGTTCCCCTGCGACTCGGCACCGTCTTCACCTTCATTCTCTCGGATGCTCGTCGTAGCCTCCGATCCTCTGTTCGCTCCCGGTTTGTGGAGAACGCCACCCAGCCAGGCGAGACCACCACTCCACGAGTCACTCAAGCTGCGAAGCCGCGAGAGTGAGGTAGTGTTGTCTTCATGCTGGTTGATGGGGCCCTCTTCTGAATCAACAGCAGGTGTGAGATCCCCAGTGCTTACTGGAGCAGTAGCAAGGGCACCAGTCCCTGGAAGTCGACTGCTGGAAAGCGGGAACCCAAGGCTGTGAGTGTTCTCAACATCGCCATCCACCTCGTACTCGCCGCCTCTTGCGTCTCCGTTACGCTGCCGAGTAAATCCTTCCAAGACCGTCGTGCTCAACTGTTTTCTCCGGTCCATCCGGTGGTGTAGTCTTCGTCCTTTATTGGGACTGATCTCGCCGCGGCGTAGTGTCTCCGCTACTACCGCACTAAAGCCGGCCGAGATGGTTGGCAGAAGAGGACCAGGTGAGAATTTTGAAATGGAGTTGCGTAAATGCCGAGCGGGCGGCGTCTGCGGGACAATGGCTTTTCGAACGTTCGACTGAGTCCGTCCATGGCCCGAAGTTGGGCCTGCCGACTCATCCTCAGCGCCAGGAGCAGGGGGGAAACGAAGGAGAAAGGGCGAATCGTGTGCTGTAAGCTCCGACTGCGCCGGGGGTGTAGAAGGGCGATGGATCGGTGGTTCAGTATTGGGGGTTTGGATGGCCGACTCAAGAGAGTCTGCCCATGGGTTCGTCAGAAGCGAACGAGCATGCATGGGCGAGGAAGGCTCCGAAGAAGGTTCTTCAAGCAACTCAGCGGTCAGCGAGCCGCGTGGGGAAGATGGCGCAGCCGATAAGACGCCCCTAGGTGTCCGCTGATCGTCATCCACGTCTTCAATGCCCTGACTAAGGAGGGACCCCGAAGGAGACTGAAGATGATCCTCCGCCGGGGTACGGACTTTTCGTCCTGCCTTATGGGCGCGAGCTTGTGGAGCAGGGGGCGATAGATCGACCCTATCATGATAACGGTCTGCGCCCAACAAGCCGATAGCCTCCTCTTCGTCGTCAATGGAGAAGGTAGACTCGTTGTCTGCGCGTACACGGCCGCTGGTAATACAGTAGACCCCCATAAACGTCAGGACACAACCACCCACGAATTTGCACGCACGCTCAGCTGTGTAGGACTCAAAGTCTCGATACAGTACAGCGCTCCCGATGATGACGGAGAGAGTGAAAAGCACAAACTGTGTTGGAATGACTTGAGTCGAGTCAAACCGTTGCAGAGCTCGGTTGATGTACCGGATCTGCATAAGGGCACTGAAAACAAGAACGAAGACTAGAAGATAGGTGACTGGGAACGTAATGACGTGCCAAAGTGTAAAAGATAGCAACGATGAGACACCCTTGGTCGACAAAGCAGTATATCCACCTGGTCAAACAGTAAGCAACGATCCACCAGGATATCATTAATGGCGCCATGTGTACGTACCAAACAATGCCACCAAGCCGACATCGATCAGGATGGATCGCGATCCATACTTGCCGCTTGCCCACATGAGCCCGACAATAAGCGCAGCGGAAACGCCCAGGTACAACTCGAACTCCCAGCGCGTAATCATCTCCCAGATATCATGGGGGCCGATCTTCTCTTCCGATGATTTTGCGCTGAGGACAACCACCACCGCTCCTGCGATCGCGATAAGAACTCCCCACAAGTCACGCTGTCTGAATTTCTCCTTCAGCATAAATGGCGCAATAACGCAATTCGAGATGAGGGCGACAACGCCGAGCGGTGACACAATAGACGCCGGAGCAAATCCATAGGCCATGAAATTCCCGACCTCGCCAAGTGACATGAGCACAATTCCCACCCACCAGTACGGCGATCGAAGATATGATTTGCGGCGCAAACGCTCACTCCCCGATCGCGCAGTCCGGTCGGATATCATGGAGTCCTGCATATGATCCTGTGAGTCTGTCTCGTCGTCCCTGTAACGGCGGTTTCGTCCGGAATGGCCGCGGGGTTCCTCATAATGATCGGGTTCAGATGTAGGAGATTCATCCCGGTAACGACCCGGTCGAGACGCACGATGTCTTCCTCGACTTGCGTCTCCGTCAAAGTCGTCGTCATCGACAGATCCATATGCGCCAGAGTGGCCGTGTCCATGGTTCGCACGCTTCCAATCCAACTCGTGTCTCAACTTGTCCTGTTCCCACTCCTTATCGATACGGATGTGAGCATAGCGCTGGATGTTGAGCGCCAGGGAAATCAACACATTGCCCGCCAACGCAGTCACAATTCCAATCAAGGATGACCATTCGTGCATTCCTCCACCATTTCCGCCATCGCCATTGTCAGACCCGGGGCTGGACGTGAACGTCGGAGAAGGCTGGGACGAGGAGGGGAAGTAGTGAAACGGTGTGGGTGTTGGCGTAGGAACAGCGGAGGAGGCGAGCGCGGTGAGCAGGCCTGCTGCCAGGGGCACCTCTTGCAAGTAAGCCATCCGCAATAGGAGGTTGACTCAAGGGGATGCCGGGCGCAAGTAGGCCTGATTAAAAGGCGAGCGCGGGAGTGAAAAGGAGGTCCCGACTGATCCGCCGCTATAAGGTTGTAGGATGCGGAAAGCCTCCGATGTCGACAAACCGGCAAGAAAACTGGCGGCCGACTGACTGTAACGAAGGGGAGGCTTCCGGTAGTCGTCACAGCATATAATCCTTCAGATTGTTGGCATCAGCTTCTTTGGGGGGCAGGGGTTCATGCTGCTGTGAGCCACGACATTCTGTATCCCCTAAGTAATAAAATCCAAGCTCGGGAGTCTTCGTTCACCAGCGACAGGGAAGAGACTCCGAAAGGCACCACAAGCTGTAAAATTAATGCAGACGCTCGTCATCCGCGAGCGAGGTCCGACGGTGGTTCAGGGCACGGGTGTAGAGAATAAGACGGGGGGAGGGCGGAGGGATGGGGGGATTATGGGATAGAGAGAGATGCCGAGAGAACCGGCGAGAGAGACTAGTCGCAGTCCCTAAACTCGGGCCTAAAATCCTTGGATACGACCAGTTCGCACGTGCGAGCCTGCTCAAGTTGGGAGAGTGGGAAATACCACGTATAAGCGCAGCATCGCGTGAGGTTTGCTGGGCAATCAAAGCCGGACAGGCTGCAGTAGTAGATTATCGAGGAGCCCGCCGCAGTCGTGGAATCATTGGCTTGCTCGCCTCCTCCAGATCAACGTCGAGTGGACGATCCGGAGAATGGACGACTTGCACATCCTGGCCCACCCACCAGCCCCTTCAACGTCATCGAGCAGGCTGTCCATGCCCGCAAGTACACTTTCTACACAGCAGAGTACACTTACTTACTTGTTATGCACTATTATGTCTTACAGTTTCACAAGATTTACTGCCATAGGGTATCTCTGTTGTTTGTTCAACTCCGTTTAGTGGGCGGATGATTATTAACACACTTTATCTGCCACGAAAGTTCATCACGCTCAACGCCGCCCTTGCTCCAAAAGTATACTGTGTACATGTCCTGAATCATGGCGTAGAAGGAATGGAAACCAATGTTTATTATTTCCGATCGGTCGCAAACACCTCACCGCTTTGCCCGCTTCTTATCCGGCCCCTGCTCGTTTTCATCATCACTAATATCCCGGTAGATCGGCGTGGGCTGCGTCTCCTTCCACGCCTTGGTGAATATCGGGTCCTTCTCAGCCTTGTCCGCATACTTAAGCAGAGCTTCCCGGGGATCCTCATCCCGCATCGAACTGAGAGGAATGTTCTCGCGGATATGCTTCTCATCCGGCTGCGATTTGGCAAAGGGTGTTTGTGCTGGTAGATGGGGTCTCCGTGGATCTCTTGGACGGCCTGACGCCGTGAGTCCGATGGTCGGGTGCCGGGCGGACCAGGTGGAGGAACTGTAATGAGGCACCCCGTTGGATCCGACAACCACAGAATCGCCAGAAATCCCCTGGGTGAGGTCCATGGTAAGGCTTGGGTCATCATCAATGTGTCGACGCTTCGGTGCCTTGGACATGATCAAGGCAGCACCCTTGGTAGACATATTGGGGTTGTAAAGAACATGGGTTTCGGCGTTGGCCGAGCCGGTAATGATCTGGTTCATCTTCTCATGCCACAAAACGCTGATAACGGGCAATCCTGGCGTAACGGGTGTGACCAGTTCCGGCTTCAACGTAGCTGGATTCAAGATATGCAGGTGTCCAGTCTCCGAGCCCGTGAGAACATTAGCGGATGTAGGCGAGAATATGATATTCGACGACGGATACCGCGTGCTGGAAGGATGGGCGACCGTGGTGATAGGTTGCTTGAACTTTCTGGTATCCCATAGCTTGATAGTGTCATCTCCGCCCTTGGTAATAACAAGTCGTCCATCCGAGCTAACGTCGATGCCACTCGTCCAAGTATCCTTAGCATGGGCATCTCTAATCTCTGCGCTTGGCCGAGTGTACGGCCCGTTCCCGCTCCACATGAGCAAACTGCCATCGAGCGCAGCAGCAACGAGAACATTAGGTCCACCCTGCTTGGGTGAGCCCCATGCGACAGCGGTCATTTTGCTCCGGCCAGCGGATCCCGCCATTTTTGATTTGTGCACTATAACCTCCTTCTGTGAGCGACCGACATTGGCATCCCAGATGCGCACAGTACTATCTGTTCCTGCCGTGGCACAGAGATTCTCGTCGGTTGGACACCACACGCCGCCAGTCACCTCAGAGATATGGCCCTTGGTGTTATGCAGATCCCTCAAATACATATCACCCTTCACAAACTCGGTAACCGTATCACCATCGCGGCTCAAAATCCTTGGCTGGGGTGTGGCCGAAACAACCATGACGTAGCTGGGGGACAAGGGATTGAAAGCTGCATAATGCACGGCATGCGCCTCCTGCGCAGCAGACTGCTTTTTGGCTGAAGGATCGACGGATTTGAATGCGCGTATGGTCGACGGGGTCATGGACGCGAAGTCATGTAGCTTTATAGTACAATCGGTCGAGCCGGTGATCAGTCGCGAACCTGCGGGATCCACGGTCAACGTAGTCACTGCGCGGTCGTGTGTCTTGAGAACGAGTTCGTGAGACACCGGGAACTCATCCTCATCGTCGGAATCGTCATCAGAGTCGTCGCTTCCATCATCACTATCTGAATCGTTTTTCTGGTTCGCTTCCTCCGCCACGGGCGTCGTGTCAGTCGTCGCCTCTCCTGTTATACCCGCTTTTTTGTCGTCGCCATCAGGGTTCACAGAGACTTCTGCGCGCTTAGTGCGATCAATCTGCGAGCTGACATCGGTTTTCTTCTCTTGCTTGCCAAAGCTAGTCGGAAAGAACTTCTTGAATGCCTCCTCGTCAAATCCGTCCATTATGGCAGCTGGTCTTTTGTCCTGGATGAAAGTTTGGCGGAGATGACTTACAGATGCGATGGATGATGTCCTTGTTGTTTGTAAGATTTGGCATGTTTGCACTGTTTGCGTGAGGCCATCACGTGGCGATAAAAGTGCATAGTTCTCGATAAGCAGTGGCTCCCGACGTCACCGGAGAAAGGATGAGTGCTCCAGGTCAGCAGCATCTACAATGCGCACGGACAGATAACACGCTTGTGCAAGTTCAAGGGCAGCGCCTGTGACAACATTACTTAACAGGCCACCAAAGTGACCCGGTGCTACTATTGTAAAGATACACTAGGATAGATTCTTGACCTAATAGCACCGCGCTACATCGGTTCAACTAGGGAAAATCTAAGTACAACATCGATATCTGCACGCCTACAAGTACAGTCCCTCCACTGGACCTCCGTCCTGCTTCGTCTTCATGATCCGCTCTCTGGCTGCGCGGAAGTCGTCCATCTGCACCCGCATCCGGCGCTCTCTCAGCGCCATCAAACCAGCTTCAGTGCAGATAGCACGGATATCGGCACCAGAGAGATCATCCTTCTGGTTGATGAACTCGTCCAAGTCCACATCGTCTCCGAGCGACATCTTGGAAGTGTGCAGGGTAAAGATCTTCTTCTTGGTGTTTTCTGTGCATAGTTAGCAAATGCGGTACAAAAGGCATAATGCTGAAAGACTTACGGTCTGGGTTTTCGAAGAGAATCTTTCTGTCAATACGTCCCGGACGGATCAAAGCAGGATCCAAGGTCTCAATCTTGTTGGTGGCCATGATGACCTTGACGTCACCGCGATCATCGAATCCATCAAGCTGGTTAAGAAGCTCAAGCATAGTACGCTGGATTTCTCGTTCACCACCCGACGTAGAATCATAACGCTTCGTACCAATCGCATCGATTTCATCAATGAAAACAATGGAGGGTGCGTGCTCGGCTGCAACCTGGAAGATTTGACGGACCAGACGAGGGCCATCTCCAAGGTATTTCTGAATCAGCTCACTACCAACGATACGGAGGAAAGTAGCACTGGTTTGGTTCGCGACCGCCTTGGCCAGCAGCGTCTTTCCGGTACCAGGGGCACCGTAAAGAATGACACCCTTGGGTGGCTTGATACCCATCTCCTCGTACAGCTCGGGGTGGAGCAAAGGAAGCTCCACAGACTCCCGGACTTCCTGGATCTGGGTTTCCAGACCACCAATATCGGCATATGATTCTGTGGGAGCCTTGTCGAGCTTCATCACTGATACGAGGGGGTCGGATTCTTCGGTGAGCACACCGACAACCGAGACCGACTTGTGGTGTAGAAGAATGCTGGCACCAGGCTCGAGAAGGTCTTTGTCGACGAATGACATGATCGAAACATAGTATTCCGGTCCAGTCGCGCTCGAGACAATGGCGTGGTCATCGTCAATCAGCTCTTCCAGGTTTCCAACACCCATGGGGCTGCCTCTCATATCATCAACCCGGCTTCTCTCATCGGCGTTCCGATCCATGATGTCGAGATCATTACGGTTCGCCGAATCCAGCGCCGCCTGGGCCTTGGTCTTGCGCAGGCGCTCCATATTCTCCACGTACTCTTCCTCTAGCAACAAATGGTCGTGGACTCGTTGCATTCGGAGGTATCGTAATTTACATCGTGACGTTGGGAAGATGTCTGGAAGCTTTGAGGCAGTACTCGGGCCGGCAGCCTTGCGCTTCTTACGTCCGAGACGAGTCGTAGGCGGCGGAGGAGGTTCGTATCTGGGCTTGTCCTTCTGCAGAGAAGAGTAACGTAAGCCGGCTGCTACCTGACAAGAAGATTACGGGAGTATAGCATACCTTCTTGTCCTTCTCATCTCTTCCATCGCCACCGGGGCCTCCGCCGATGTTGGACTGCTGGTTACCCTGTGATGAAGATTGGTCAGATACGTGACATCAGGAGCCGACAAGAGCTGTCAACAAGGGCCAACGCCGGGCACCAACCATAGTCCAAAACTGTGAGAAGCAATAGGCTTCTTATAGATGACCTATGCAGGGGTCTGGGGAATATAATGAGAAGTTCGCGATGTGCGTGGATGGGGTGAAGAGATGGGGATGGGTGAAGGAGGATGGGGACGTGAAGCTGATGCGTTGCGCAGCTGGGAAGCTGTTGGTCGCCATCCGCTCGGGCCTTGGCGCCCGTCCAGCACATCTAGCAGCACGTGACGTGATCTGATCGGTACTTATTACATGCCTTGGTGCCTGAGGCGCTAGTGGCTGATCCCTGAGGCATCTCCCGCAAGCCCCTCTTGGGATCCTCCGCCCAGAAGCCAAAAGTAGCCTGGCGCCAACCGAGCTGGGCCCGATCTGTACAAAATGTAACTGGCAGCTCAGCTCTACTCCGAACCGTCCAGGTAGCCCGACGGGTCATTTCCCCTATATTGCTTCTACAACACAACTTGTTCCCTTTTTTGTCGTCCGGAACATATATTTCCGCTGTCATTAATACATATTCCAGCCCCGAACCCATTTCGTGCTAGGGTTCGACGAAGTCCCTGTGATCTAATCTTGTTCGATTGTTTAGCGCTCTTCCGTGATAGAGCGCTTACTTGCGCCCCGCCGAGAGCATTGATCCCCTCACTTTCGCCCATACTTCAACAATCCTCTCTAGTCCACTCCCCACCAGATTAGGTGACGCTGTTACAGATCAGTCGTTGGTCTCCAGCGTTTGTATTGATTGCACCTACTCCACTAGTTCCTTCGTTGCCTCAACCTCCCTGCTACAGACCACCTGCTACACTTCCTCGCCCTCTCGGTACTTGTCTACTGCGAGGCTGACGAAGCTTTGACTATTGCCTCATAGTTCTTAGATCTTTTCTATTCTTATCCTTCAGCTCTCCAGACAATTCAAACCTACTTTCTTCGTTTCTGCAGAAAAGAAAAAAAGATAACACAAGCTACCCGTTTTCCCGAGATTGTTCTTACGATGTCTGGCAATCGTGCGAGGCGTATCGCCAAAGAGATCGCCGACATTCATGCCGACACACAGTCGCAAATCACGGCTGAACCACTGCACGGTGGTGATGATCTCACGCATCTTCGAGGCACGTTCCCAGGGCCTCCAGGAACACCCTATGAAGGTGGCACCTATACCATCGACATCAAAATCCCCAACGATTATCCATTTCGACCTCCCCATATGAAGTTTGTGACCAAGGTCTGGCATCCTAACGTTAGCAGTCAAACAGTGAGTTGCCTCCAGTCATGTAAGGTTAGGTTATCTCCAGTTTTGCTAACAAAGTGACTTGCCTAGGGTGCCATCTGCCTAGACACTCTTTCTACTGCGTGGTCGCCGGTGCTCACCATCAAGTCTGCCCTTCTGTCACTGCAATCCCTGCTCAGCACACCCGAACCCAAAGATCCGCAAGATGCCGAGGTCGCCACGATGCTCCTTCGGAGACCGCAGGAATTTGCACGGGTTGCTCAGGAGTGGGCTGTGATGTATGCAGGCGCTCCCAGAAGGCATGCAGGTGAAGGCAGTGGCGGTGTGACAGACGAAACTCTTCGACTGCAGGAGATCAAGTCGAAAGAAGAGCAGGAACAAGAGGATTTAAGCAAGTATGTACACGTGTGTAGGATCAAACATGCTCTGGCTAACCTTTCTGTGCAGATACGATGGCTACAACAAAGACTTGATTGACCGATTCTGTAACATGGGATTTGACGTTGACCGCGTTGTAGCCGCTTTTAAATACTATGGCATTGATCGAATGGACGGGGAAGATTATGAGCTGGAGGAGGCGTACATGGGAGATATCACGGCGCGGCTCCTTGGTGAGCCGTAGTTGGTGTGATGTGACACACGGTTCGGATAGTCTAGATTTTGCAATAGCGACGGTGCTAGGCGATTCAGTCGGGTTTGCTCTCTTGAATGAGACCTCTTCGCACAAACATCATCAAGAACAATTTCCTTTCTCTTTTCTCAAGTCAGTCAGATCCCAGGCTGTGATGATCCATGTTTAATATATCCATTCGCTTTCAACATTTTTCGGCAGCATAGCTCAAGTCAGGATACTATTAGCCTTGCATTAACTCAATCAATACCTGTTATGACTGAAGTTATAGTGCTTTCAAAATAGATGCCATCTCTTTTATATGATCCAGGCAATCAGCAAACTGCAGTGGAGGTCCAGTAATGCACGGAAGTCAAGGCAGCGGGCCTATCGATAAGCACGTGGATATGCGGCAAAGTCCGCTGCAGATCAGCTTTGACTTTCCGCCGTCCCCCAGAATCCTCGCGCAACAAGCACTTCCATCATTAGCTACACATTTCGCGACAGTGAACTCACTATATAGCTGTCTTTCAACATGATCGAGGACGAAATATACCGATCATCCTCCCAGTTCCGACTGTGGTCCTTCACCGAAGCATCACTGAAGCAATTACGAGCAACCACCAACTCTGTCGCGAGTGACCGAGTGCGAGCAGCTCTACGAAGGGCACAAGACGCCCGAAGATCAGCTACCTCCTCCACAACAGGGACACCAGCCCCGGGAAGCGATGCGGAGAATAAAGCAGCAGAGGAAAAGCAGATCGAGTGCTTGACACCCGAAGAAGAGCAGCAAGTGGTGGACTACTACTCCGAACAAATCATACAACTAGGAGAGAACTACAAACCACCACTTCCCACCATCGTGAGAGTACGAAGTCCCCTCTCTCCCATATCTCAAACCCTCCACCCCAATACTAACATACCCAACCCAATCACAAAGGCCACCGCAATCCAATACCTCCGTCGCTTCTACCTCACCAACTCTCCAATGACCTACCACCCGAAACAAATCATGCCGTGCGCCCTCTTCCTCGCCACCAAAACCGACAACTACTACCTCTCCCTACGACAATTCGCCGAAGGTGTCCCCGGCCAAACCTCCGCCGACGACATCATCGCCCCAGAATTCCTCGTCATGCAAAGCCTCCGCTTCACCTTCGACGTGCGCCACCCCTTCCGCGGCCTAGAAGGCGGCATCATGGAACTCCGCGCCATATCCCAAGGCCAAGGCCAACCAGCACCACATTTCCAACCCTCCCAAACACCAGAAGACCTCCGCAGGGCTCTCCTCTCCCTCTCCCCTTCCTCCGCCACCGCAAACACCATGAACGACCGCATCTCCCGCGCCCACCACTCCACCCGCGAGATCCTCAAAGCCGCCGCCCAAATCACAGACGCCTACTTCCTCTACACCCCAGCCCAGATCTGGCTCTCGGCATTCCTCCTCGCCGATCGCCCCTTGGCTGAATTCTACCTCGACACGAAACTAGGCGGTCCAATCATATCATCAACAAACCATGATCAAAACCCCCTGTACGCCCTGCGCACGAAACTCCTCACCACCCTCGCAAACTGCTCTGCCCTCCTCCAAGCATACAAACCCTTCGCGTCCGATGAAGCCCGCATGAAGACCCTGAAACGCATCGTCGGCAAGAAACTCTACCATTGCCAGAACCCTGAGAAGGCCAATATCGCAGGCCAGAAACGCATCCCTGCCGCTGCAGCTGCCGCTGCGGCAGCTGCAGCTGCAGGCGAGTCCGGGACATCAGAAAGCGAAATGGAGCGTCTAGCGAAGAAAAGGAAACTAGAACGGGGAAGTGAGACGACGAAAGATCTCTTCGGAGGGGAATTAGTCACGCAAAGGACGAAGGAGAGGCAGATGGAGGGGGATCAGCAGCAATAACAGCAGCAGCAATAGCAGTAATAATGAACCTTTATGGTTCAAGTATAATTGTTACTATTATTATTGGCTTTTTGGGCGACGACGACGACGTTGGTGAATTACTGTTTTGAGCGTGCAGATAGGCGCAATAGATAGAAAAGCATGAATGTTACTATTATTAGTCTTCTTTCTTATTAGAAGGTGGGTATTTGGATTGTGTAAGTGTTGCTTTGCTGCTATTCGTAGTACCCTATATTTGAGCAAGTCGACCTTCACTAGTACTAACCATCCAGCCCTATATAAATACTGCTACTACTACTACTAGTATAGTTGCCAAAGTATACAACCACCATTGGGGTTCAGGTATAGATATTTGTAGTTGTGATACGAGGGAGACATCCTACATGGGTATATATGTCTACGTAACTCTGAAAGTAGTATAGCAAGGGAATAATATCAGATTGAAACCCTCAAACGCTCAAGTCTAGTTAGGTGTGGGGGAGTGACGATGAAGGTATGAAAAGATGAAACACAGACCATCTAAAACAAAGCACCCAAATGTGTAGTAGTAGTAATGAGCAAAAATATCTCCAGGTATTTGAAAAAAAGGAAAAATAGTAGAAAAAACGGATAACCTTCCGCGCGAATGTCATTCATCAGGATGGTTCATCTCTCCTGTAACGGTAAAGAGAAACTTTTTTCCTTCCCCTTACAAGCCTTTTTTATATTTGCATGTGTGTCGTCTCGAACATTCCAATCATAAACAAGAAGATTAATCACTTCTTCCTTCTTTTTCAGTGGTTTGTACTTTAGACAGCACCCTCGGAAATCATCTTCTTGCGGAGGTGGTTCTTGTACTCGCCGATAGTACCGTTCCAGCGGGTGACGGTCTTGTTCTCGCAGACCATGATGTCCTTGGCGATCTTGTCAAGGAGACGGAAGTCGTGGGACACGACGACAACACCACCGCTGAAAGCGTTGATGGCATCGGCCAAACTGTCAATGGTGGGGATATCCAGACCGTTGGTAGGCTCGTCCAGCAGGATCATGTTAGGCGACTCGATAGCCAACAGGGCGAAGACGATACGAGACTTCTGACCCTCGGACAGAGTACCCATGAGGGCAGTCTGGGACTCACCGCTGAGACCGTAACGACCCAGCTGCTGACGCCAGTACTGGTAGTCCTGAGACTTCTCGGGGAACTTGTCACGGACGAACTCGAGGGCAGACTTGGTCAGATCCAGCTGCTCAGCAGAGTGCTGACTGTACATGCCCAGCTTCAAGTGAGTGTG